AATTAAGTAAATCAAACCCTAAAAAGCAACAAGAATAACATCGTTGTAGTTAACATAATTTGAATGCGATTAATACACAATTGCTTAATTAGACACATCTACCTTTACTGTAAAAATAACTGAAATGAGTTTGACGGTTTGGGAGATAAAGTATGTATAAATACGGCGACTTTTAACATAATAAAGTCTTAGCAGACGATGAGATCCAATCGGAAGTAACTGTCTACGGCAGTTCCTTTTTCGTTACCATGGTAACGTTTTTTGATCCTGTCATATTCAGTAAAGTTCAAATTTACCTTGAACAAGAGCTGTGAATCGAAGGAGCGATCCGTGTGATTCAATCACCGCTAGTTGACATCACCCCCATCCATGCCTTTTTCTAGGAAATACCATCTTATTTTTCATTAAATGTTGAAAATATTATACATATACCATCACAATTTTTCTATCTTAATAATCGTAATATTCATTTTTATTAAGAGACTAGGTTTTAACCCAGTGAATTGTCTAGTGTGTTGTGTGATTGTCAGTTTGTTTGTATGGCGAAGATACCATAATAATATAACTGCCTTGCCTATAATCGAAAATTGTACTACATCTAGCTTTACGTGTTCTATAAGCCATAGGCATACATAAGGAAGAAAATAGACTATAAAGGGTTATAATAAGCATCATTAGTGAGTGAGTCATAAGTGATTTTATCTACGATTACTCGACAAGTAGCAAAGAAACTTAGCTGTCTTTATATAAGTTAATTTAAATAAAAATGTGTTATTATACTCACGAGGAAAAGCGAGGACGAAAATCGTTGAGCGTCTGTGTAGGTAATGACGTCAGATACAAATTGAAGTCAGGCTTAACGAGAGGATCAGCTGCAGTCAAAAGTAAAACTGGTATTCCAATCTCAAGCGATAGAAACTTTTTATATTCATGCCTATAGCATTGGCTATTTTTGGGCATCGCCTTATGTAATTATATTATAAATATTATATTATTTGTCACATAAATATTTGGAGATAGTTTTCTCAGAAACGTTTTTTGTGTCTTTCTGATCTGTAGACCCCAGACGTTGAAGCAGGATTGTATAGGTATTACTTGAACATATACACATCATAAACGTAATAAGTACTTAGTACGTAATATGTATTTTTTTTTATCAGAAGCGCTTTAATAAACCATAAACTTTTTATCGCGCGACATTCGCGTGGAAGCACATAAGCAGAGTTTAACAGATCTAAACGCGGCGAGAAACCACCATTTTTATACATTGTAGATAATACATGGATATCTGGCTGAGCACACTGGTTTTCCGCCCTAAGTTTTATCTACGAAACGAACTAGTCTTTCACCCTACGGCGTTTCCACAAACGTTTAGATATCCCTTGAGCGAAACTTTCTTAGTTAGCCATGTTATTTTGGGATTTCTATCATTTCACGACTTTCCGAGCTTAGTTAAGCTCTGGATTTTATTAAGATAACAAAATGTGATTAGTAGTCTACAAACTTCTGATAATTTTACGCGATAATAATGAATATTTCTGATCTTAAGTTGACTTGAACTTTGGTTCTCATTATTTGTGTTTAATTCCTCACAGATATTTCATGTTTCATTTACGATCCGGAAAAAGTGTGGTCAGGTCAGACCCCTATTATTTACCCGGGAGTCGAAGCGGATTACGCCATACGTGTTTAACTGTTAATAAAGGCTTTAAACTACTAAACCACAACAGCGATTTACTGAGGTATGTATGCTAAGCACATCTCGATTCACAATCGTATGCTCTAACAAATAGACTCAAAATCTAAATATGAACCTGATACATGTTTTAGACCATTTTCTTATACAGTAATTTACTACTTATTATTTATTATTGTGTGCTGTTTATAAATCTGAAACTGCGTATAACCTTAAACTTACGTGTTTCAAAGGGCAAGTTGCATAGCTATCGGTATAATGGAGTTAGTTTGGCAATTAAGAGATAGGACTTACCTAACTATACACAATTGGGTTTTAACTTTCAAATAATGATGAAAACTTAGGGTTTATAAACACGAGATAGATTTAATTTTTGAATAAATTCCCTTCATAAAAATTACCAAATTTCTTGTAGTTTCTAATATTTTAAAGAATTTTAACAATAAGTAATGAGTAATTAGTAAGTAAATAATAGGTTAAAACGAAGTGCCTTCATTGGCATTAGTAGTTAACGTACATAGTAAATAATTTGCTGGACCTGGGTCCGATAACTTACTTGCCTTAGATAAAAATAAGGCTTATGGGGATTTTGTTGCGCTAGAGTAAGGTCGATCGTGATAAAGGTAGAAATCAGGACGAGGCAAGGACTGATAAAGGCTTGCATGAGGTTAAAAAAATCAGTTTCCCTGAAAATATTAGGTCCTTACATATGAAATTGGCGTATTTCGTACTGGCCACTTTAATCACGATGTTCTCCTCTTTGGTAAGGAATTCCTAATTCAAATTTGTACAGCTATTTACTCATGTATTTGTGCTTCGATGACCGTCATTCATTTGTTTTTTCTTCTGTTTTTGAAGTTATACTTCTTTAGGCGCGTTATGAAAAATTTATGAGAGTGAAATTTTACGATGCGCGCGCACCGTGACACAAAATTAGGAGTGTGATTATAGCGTGCGCGAGCGAGATAGGAATAAGACAATCTACAAGTAAAAAGAAATATAATATGCGTGAAGTTCGTATGCCAAGAATTTTGAATGACCATAATGACATTTGTCATTTACCTTTTAAACAAATAAAGGAGTTTTAATTATTTTTTCAAAGAAATTTAGCAATGCTTTTTGAATTATATATAATCAGAAGTGATTTAAATTGAATATTTAAACCAATACTAATTAATATTTGTGAAAAAACTGTGCTCATCAACCTTCCTAAGTGCTTCAGCCTTCATTACAATTGAGGTTAACTATCAGTTTGTATTATTATTATCGAGTAATGTTTTGATTAAAAAAATTACCACATTGTTTAATCAAAACATGTAATTTTTCTCTAGCAAATATAAGGACAAGAGACAAAAAACAATTGATGAATCAGTGTAAGTGCACTAAATTGAATACAAAAAAAGAGTTGTCATCTTATCGCTGTGAAACATCAAAAACTGGAGGTGGAACAAAGCCAAACTATTTTTAATAATGCCAAAGAAGTATAATTTCTTACGCGCGTACATAAGTACACGCACCCTTTTTTTTCTGTTTGCGTCACTCATTTTACAAAATGGAAAACTTAAAGTATCGCATTATTTACGACTACGAGTTCCGCCGTGGCACTAGTGCTGCGGAAACGACTCGAAGGGTGAATGATGTGTATGGCGGTCATGTTGCAAAAGAAAACACAGTTCGTTTTTGGTTCCAACGTTTTCGTTCTGGAAATTTCGACCTGCAGAACAAGCCTCGTGGACGGCCTGAGACCCAAGTTGATAATGAAGTATTGAAGGCTATTGTGGAAGCGGATCCATCGCAAACCACGTCCGAGTTAGCTGCAGGCTAGTGTTAGTGATAAAACTGTTTTAATTCACTTGAAGCAAATTGGGAAGATTAAAAAGCTTGAAAGACCTCACGAATTGACTGCTGCGTTACATTACTGAACAATAATGAAGGTATTTTAAACCGAATCATTACCTGTGATGAAAAATGGATTCTTTACAATAATCGGAAGCGCTCAGCGCAATGGTTGAATCCTGGCCAGCCAGCCAAATCCTGCCCCAAGCGAAAATTAACCCCAAAAAAGTTACTTGTAAGCGTTTGGTGGACTAGTGCCGGTATTGTTCATTGCAGTTTTCTCAAATCTGGCCAGACTATTACGGCTGATGTCTATTGTCAGCAATTGCAAACCATGATGGAAAAGCTAGCGGCTAAACAACCTAGGCTGGTCAATCGCTCCACGCCACTGCTACTTCACGACAACGCTAGACCACACACTGCACAACAGACGGCTACCAAATTAGAAGAGCTTCAATTGGAATGTCTAAGACATCCTCCATACTCCCCGGACCTTGCTCCAACAGATTACCATTTTTTTCGAAATTTGGACAACTTCTTGCAAGGGAAAAAATTTAACTCTGATGGGGCAGTCCAAATCGCCTTCACAGGTTTTATTAATTCCCGTCCGACTGGTATTTTTAGTAAAGGGATCAATGAACTACCTATGAGATGGCAAAAGTGCATAGAAAACAATGGTTCATACTTTGATTAATTAAATATATTATATTTAAAAATATTCGACTTTTTGTTCCTCCCATACAAGACGCAAAAGTTCATATGTAAGGACCTAATATTTTATTGTTAATAGTACAAGAAGTAATTGCAAATATGATAAATTACCAATATGTAATCATGGATAGAAGTAGATACTATGTATGGCTTAACTGAAGATACAATACACACCGATAGATATCTACCAATTAAGATTTAACCGAGATACAAAAACGTAGTTTAAACTTAGTGAGGAGCTTAAAAGTAGAATTTCGACTACACTAAATAAATCAATCAAGAATTTAAATAGGACAAGCATTCAATTCTTCGTTATCAACTTTGGTCACCGGCCGTCTACAGGGCTTGTTCTGCAGGTCGAAATAAATAAAATAATAGTCGAAATAATGTTTATAAATAGTAAAGAAAAAAAACAAAACGGGAAAATAAAATAAATCATGGTTTTCTAAAAACAAATGCATGAGTATAGCTGTAAAAAATTGAATTCGGAATTCCTAACCAAAGAGATATTTGAGGTCAATGAGGCCAGTACAACAAAACTTCAATTTCATATGTAACCAAATATATAACAAAAGATTAACAAATGGTATAATAAAATTGTTAGATTAATAATAATTATATCATATTTAATATTTTATTGTAATTTGAGTATTTTTTTTTAAATTATAATTTGAGTATAAACTCAAAATTCACCAATAACGATTTACTTACTGGCTGTACATACAAGTTCTATCAATTATTACTACATATTCATAAATTATTCCAAAATATCTTTTAAATATCCATAGCTGATTAAGTCATCGAAAATAGCAGTCATTCGATTTTTATATAAACATATTGCTTTTTGTATGTCTTCTTCAGTTTCTAAAACAATTTTACTTTTGACATGTCCTTCTTGTTGGCATCCACTAGACAGCCAAATTGCTGTATTCGCTATAACAAGACAAGCTGGTGCAACTGCAATTAAATCAGCATCAAACATTTGCCTTGAATATATTTTATTCACAGGAATTTCAGCTTCCAACAGGTTTTCACTCAATGTCTGATAATATGTGTCCAGAAGTTGTTTATAATGTTGACTACGTAGGTCTTGACCTGAACTAGATATAATAAGATATAAAACATCATAAGCTGGGCTAGAAATTCTTGTTGTTTGGTAATCAATCATACACACAGATACCGGTTTCCCATGCTGTAAAATAAAACAATTTTTTTTTAACTTAATTTAGTCTAGTAGGTACCTAATAAAAGTTTGTTGAGATAGATATACATATATATTTACCTCATATTTAAAGAGTAAATTTTCTTTCCAAATGTCTCCATGGCATAGTACTAATGCATTAACAGACTTATAACATGCTTCTACAAATTTATCACAATCCTTTTGTAATCTCTCTAATGCAGGTACATATTGAGTATTTGAGAACACTTTTAAAGCTTTAGTTAATCTGTCTTGTAATATGGTGTAAAACCGTTCATTTGCTTTCCTAGATAAGGGAACACAGGTGCTTTGGGCAATATTAAATAGATGACTTTCTTGCTTCTTTAATATAAAAGAAAGAGCATGAAAATTTGCCAAACATTTTATTGATATCACCAAATGTTCAATGTCTAGTATAGAATCATTTACAAAAGGCATGTACCCATTGGCACACATATTTTGCATTGTTATTACTTCTTCACAATAATCTTTTTTTAAGTAATAACATTCTGGTACAATAAAGTCTGATAAAGTAGTAATCCCATTTCGGATCTTCCTGTAGCTAGGCAAGACATCAGAGTATATAAATATTTCCCGCTGAAAGAAACTGGTTACTGCTCCACTTACTCGATACCTTTCATCAGTTGGAGCTAATTTGAGTACCAGATTTAAAGATATTTCTTTTCCCTCCTTTTTTCCATTTAACTTAACTGGAATAATTACTCCAAAATAGTTTTGTGCAACATTTTGGAAAAACTGTTTCTCATAGTTCCACGATTCTATGTCAGATTTAATTGCAATTTTTTCCAATACACTATTTATATACTCGTCACGTATATATTTTGTATTATCATTCATTATAGATATTATTGCTTAGAATTTTTATTGGTTAAACGAAATTATTTTTAGTTATATATTAATCACTACTCGGTATCTACGTTAATTAGATAATAAACCAGAAAAACTATTAACGTTCTGTATTATTAATAAATATAATTATATTAATAGCAAAATTTCTACGAAACTTGTTTAATTAAAACTTGTGTCGGTTAGAAACAAAAGTGGTCAAATCCATTTGGAAGTTTTTATGGGAATCAACGACTTTTTATTCTGTTCTCCTTGCATAAGCTGTTTATAGAGTTTGAATCATTATGGCTTCGTCTAAGATGTTCTTACTAATAAAAAAAAAAATACATGACCGTTGTACTAAAAAATCAAAATAATTGAATTTAAATTTGGGATTTGACCTATTTCGAAACCAAGCTATGGATTTGACTAGTTTTGTTATTGATGTATTTGGATTTGACTATGTTTGATCCTTAATAGCATGGATATGACTGACTTTGATGCTAAAACAATATCATGTCAGGGGTTCTCAATATTTATTTGGGTCGGGTCGGTTGGGTAGTAACAATAAATATAAACAACTTGGTACATAATCAATCTTGCTTTATATGAAAAATCTTAATTTTTATCCATCACTTTTATGTTTTTGAAATTTATTAAACTACTATGGCTGGTAATTCTTCAAAGAAATCACAGTCTTCAACAACCTGTTCATGAGCAGTAGATGATTTTGGTCTTGATATTACTTGTTTGTAATATCGTAAATCTGAGATTTCTTCCCACTTCTCTCCAAAATGTGTGGTTAATAATTTCTTCACATCATTTAATTTTTCTTGTTTAACGTCCACATATAATTTAATCACATCTGGATTTATAGCAGAAACCTTCTTTTTTCCTTTACATATATTTTGATACTTATTTACAGTATTTAGATAAGATTCTTCCGCTCGAATGTAAACATTTTGTTGGTCACGAGTCCTTTTAAAAAAAATCTTTTACATTTTTAATCGAAAAGTGCATGTTAGTTGTAGTTTTTAATACCTCAGCCGATGATCGTTTCCAGTCGTAGACTTTTATATCAAGTCCCAAGTAATATACAGTCCCATGACGGATGAAAATTTCGTAATAATCGTCAGGGCAAGTCATTACCTCACGACTTTTTATTTCTTTTTCAATTTTTGCGAAAACTCTGTCTGGTGGCAAAAATGAATGGCCAACAACTGGAAACATTATTTCTATGCCCAAAATGTGTACAGGTGCATAGTCTTGTAACCATTTAGCTGCCATACCAAGAACAGATTGGTTTTTATTTTGGCCACTGCATCCATCTGCTACCAAACGAATCTGTGTAATATGCTCCAACCCAGGACTCAGAAAAATTGAATTCAAGCAATGAAAAACAGCGCTAGCAATTTCATTCGATGCTTTCGGCAAGACGTCTTCAGTCCAGGTATAGATAAACGTGTTATTAACAGTTAATGGCGATTTTGAATTTCCAATTACCACCGTAAAATTGTACACATACAACTGCCTCGAGTAATATGCACTTTGATCGGGAACTTTTGGACACGGTTGGTTCTTTTGGCAATCGAAACTTAAAATTAAAATATTTTCGCTGTTGTGTTTTAATAAAGCATAAAACGATTTGGCTCTCAATTTGTGAATTCTACTCTCAATCATTAATTTATTTTTTATCTCACTATTTTTTTCATGTTTTAGTCGTTCTTGTAAAACTATGCAAGTGGAGCACATATCTGTACGAGGGGATCCAAAACCTATGTTAAATTCGGTTTTGAAAATTTGTCTGAAGTAAGATGCCTTAATATTTTTATTTTCATCCACGGTTTCTGCGATAAACATTTTGTAAAGTTTACTAATGCTGAGCTCAGATGACAAATATTGTCTACTTTTTATTTTACTTCTGCAGTAATGTATTTCTAAAGGCTCGAGCTTCTTAATAAAGTCTTTGACAGCTTCCCTCTTAGGTGCATATTTTTGTGTTTTACGCCGCCCTCCTCTATTCTCTTGTGCAGATTCACCCATTGCTTTGAAATGTCGACTAATAACACCTGTCACTCTTCCTTTCTTTAAAGCTAAAATAGATAGAAATGTGGGTTTGCAAATTGGAATCAGAACATTATGTCGTCGTCGTGCAAAGTACGTTACCGACATTTCTTTTTATTGCCACGATTATTTACTGGCCGTTGTCGCTGAGTAGTAGTAACTTTCGTATGGTTAATTATAAAATTATCCTGATAAATTTTGTCCGGTTTTTTATAGAAGGCTTTATTAAATGCTATTATATCAGCATGACTCAATGAAGTGCACCTGTATGCTTTTGTGTAGTGGTCACATGGAAGCTTTAAATTTGGTAGCTCTTTTGAAGTGTACCTAAAATAATAACGATCGTAAATAAGTAAATATTATTAAAAAATATAGGACCCCTTTTCTACGATTATTATTTAGTATTTTCATCATTTTTCTATAGTATTGTTATTTTAGTTATGGGTTTGCGTTGCGTTATAACGACGCATAAAAATATCATACTAGTTAAATACAAAGCTCTACCTTTGGGCTTCGCAGCACACAGATAAAGAATACTTCAAACAAAGAATTTGTAAGAAAAAGTAAATTATTCAGTAGCTGCTGATCCAAAATAAAACACGTCGCCTGTACGTAATAGAATTATTATGAAACAATGTTGAGCACCACTGACAATGAAGGGCAGCGTGAGTGATCAAAGCACCACAATCATACCTTTCCTTCTTCAATTTATTGCATTTCCAATCCGCTTTTTGTTGCGTCCTTTTCCGTGATAGCTGGGGAGTCGTTTCCTTTATTAAATTATCCATTTAATTGTAATTTAACACCAAATTTTAATTAAAAACGGCGACTAAAATACAAAACCACAATCCACAAGCTTCTGATTCTGCAAAACGGCAGTTATTTTCATAGATAGTTCTAGCTTCTGATTGGCTACACGGATTAGACCGATTTTGTTTCTAAGTTTTAAAGGATTTGACCATTTTTGATAGTGAGCAGTGATTTCGAATCGATTTTTCTACGAATTGCTTTTGATTTAACTCTTTTTGATACCGGTAACAAAAACAAGATTTTTTAACGAAACAAATGGCACATTCGGTTCCAAAATCTTTATTTTTGGATTTGACTAGTTTTGTTTCTAACCGACACACTTGTTTTAGAATATTTTATAACTTTTTTGTAAAAAAAAATATTTTTGTCGCAGATACAAGTTACAACTATAGGTCTACCAGAAATCAGATTTCAATTCTCATTTCTCATGCAAATGCTATAAAAGTTCACTTTTCTGTGCCTTTTAAATCGCAGAGCGATGCAATAAAAGTTAAATAAAAAATGAGATTTCATATGGCAATGTCAAGTGTCTCCCGTCAAATCAAAGTACAAGATCTGTCAACCGCTGCTGAAATTTTGTGATTATCTTCGTGAAATTTGTTGCTTTTGTGAAAATGTCGAAAAAATCACTTCGATCTCAAGCGAGAAATATTGTTTTCAATGTTTATCGTAAAATAAAGGAAAAAGAAAATGTAAATTTGAAATCAAAGATTGAGTATGATTTACATTTATGATTTTTTGCGTGGAAGAGTTGACCGGTAAGTTGGAGGAGTGGTTTTGATACTTTTAGTTTATTTTATATTTTTGCTTTTTGGGCTTTGTACCAAATTGTTGTCTGGTGTGCAGTTCAACAAGTCTATCTGCTATCTGCACCACGATATGAATAAAGACAATTTTACAAAATGGGTCACAGAGAAGTTAATTCGAAATCTAACAAGACCTTTGTTAATCGTTATGGATAATACTAGTTATCATTCCGTATGTGTTCATCATGTTCATTAATACTAATGACACAAATGATTGGTTCCGTGCAAATAATTTACATTTTAATGATGTTTGGCGTAAATCTCAACTACTTGAAGTAGTGAAACAAAACATGTTTGCGCCCTTAAATGAAATAGATGAAGTACCTATTAAAATCGCACGGTCATGAAGATTTAAGACTCCCACCTTATCGAAAATGAATCAAAATTATTTAGGGTATACTGAACCAAAAAGTTGCTGATAAAAGTGTTAATAGACCTGCAAGTGACATAAAATTATTAACAAAAGAAGCTTTCTCACAAATTGTTGAAGAGGATTGGCGAAAATGTTGTGAACATGTAAAGAAAATTGGAAAAGATTGCATCAAGCAAGATATAATAATTGAAATTCTGGAAGAGCGATTTATAATAAACACCTCTTTATCTTCATCGTCTGATGAAAGACAAGAAATGCAAGTGGTGTTCTTGGAATCTTTTTCATGTTCTAAATGAGGTTTTAAGTTATTTGAATGATTGAAATGAAATAAAATATATTAGTACGTAATGTAATGTACGTTTAAGAACTTAAGAACAAGATGTATAACAAAATTATTATTAGATATAGCTAATATACTTCATGTTCATTAATACTAATGACATAAATAAAAATTGAACAGTATCAGGATTATTTAATCCAATTTGACCAATATTTCCCACAACAATTTTATATTTCCCTATGAGATTCCGGTAGAACTATAAACAAAGTTATAGCTAAAAATCTGACTCTCGTTCGTCAAAGATACATTGGATTTTTACATACGGGAGACAAGTACCTTAACGTTCGAAGTGGAAACGATACTCATCGCTCAATTCAAGTCATAAACACATTAATAGTACTATGTGCTTAACTGTTAATTTATTTATTTCAAAGCGATTAATTTAATATTTGTAGTTGCAGTTTGTTGCGACTTAAGATGCGTCTATATTCAGCTGTAATCTTAGCTACGATCTGATTTTAGCACCTGTATTTCTGTGTGCGCGTTAAAATCTTTATACTGACAACAGAGTACATCTCTGTCGATTACTTACTAGTATATGCATAGTTAGCTAATATTCGTCGGCAGAATTTTTTACTATGCGTGAGATAAATCTGTATTAATATTGTATAGCTGACGGGTTTGTTTGGTCGAACGGGCCAGTAGTCTAGTCGACAAGTTGAAAATGGAACAAAATAGAGATACTGCTCTTAAAATTATGTGCGATAGCTCATTCGAACCGGAATGACGCCTAGAAAAATGTGCTAAAAGCGTGTATTAGCACATAAAAAATTGCAAAAGTTATAGACCATTAAAGATGAAAAAAAATGGAATTTAGTTTTTTGCCAATATTTAATAAACTATTAATATTTAAGAAATTTCAAATAAAGATTCTGAAAGAGGAGGAAATTTCCAATAAAAAACTCTCAGCTCCCGGAACTCTATCTCCATTATTTATAACTTTAATTTAACGCTGAAAATAGGTCTGTGCGTGACATTTTTAGGATTCGCGCGTGGCGTCAAAAGCGACTACGGCACATTAATTAATTTATTTAAGGTATTGAATATTTTTTTTAAATTTGAAAAAATTATGGTGTGTTCTGAACACTATAATTAATTTATTCCCGTTGGAAATTTTACTTAAAGTTAATTTTTCAACAAGTTAAATAATTGTTAACTAACGAAATTTTCTCGAACGACCGTCTTAATTGTAAGTGAAAAAAATGTTTTAATAATGGTCGTAAAAATATTTCGCTTCGTAGAGCCTTTCTTACATACATACTTAACAAGATCGTGCCATAAAAGTTAAAGAAATATTTATACTTTGTTTATAACAATTTTTTACTTAAACAAAAACTTAAAAATCCAAGTAATGTTGTTAAAAAATTTTTTTTTCTAAATCATCAAATTATCGTTTTTATATTAATACAAGATATTTATTGATTTGCAAAAAAAAATTTCCCGCCATTGTTAATAATTTTTTTTTAAACAAATTGATTAAATCAATTGTTTAAAAAAAAAATTTCTAACTTTATTACATTACAAATATTATGATTGTTTAAAAAAAAAATTTCCTTAATAACATATTTTAATTGTTTATAATCGTTTTTTTATATTTCTTTTGTTTAAATAATTAGTTAAGAAATTTTTTTTTTTAAAAATCATAATTCACAATCCTCTATAAAGTAACAGAAAAAAATTTTTTTTAATCAACAATTCTATTGTTTATTAACTTACCAATTTGTTATAAACAAATGTTCAACTTTTTATATTTTTTTCTAAAACTTCTAAAATTAACAAAAACAACCATATATAACAAAATATAGAAAAACATTTTTTTAAATTTTTTGATTATCATGAATATTACTTTTATTAAAAAAATTTTTTTTTTTTTTTTTATAGACTTTGTTATATATGTTTGTTTTTGTTAATTTTAGAAGTTTTAGAAAAAAAATATAAAAGTTGAACATTTGTTTATAACAAATTGGTAAGTTAATAAACAATAGAATTGTTGATTAAAAAAATTTTTTTCTGTTACTTTATAGAGGATTGTGAATTATGATTTTTAAAAAAAAAATTTCTTAACTAATTATTTAAACAAAAGAAATATAAAAAAACGATTATAAACAATTAAAATATGTTATTAAGGAAATTTTTTTTTTAAACAATCATAATATTTGTAATGTAATAAAGTTGAGAAATTTTTTTTTTAAAACAATTGATTTAATCAATTTGTTTAAAAAAAATTATTAACAAATGGCGGGAAATTTTTTTTTGCAAATCAATAAATATCTTGTATTAATATAAAACGATAATTTGATGATTTAGAAAAAAAAAAATTTTTTAACAACATTACTTGGATTTTTAAGTTTTTGTTTAAGTAAAAAAATTGTTATAAACAAAGTATAAATATTTCTTTAACTTTTATGGCACGATCTTGTTAAGTATGTATGTAAGAAAGGCTCTACGAAGCGAAATATTTTTACGACCATTATTAAAACATTTTTTTCACTTACAATTAAGACGGTCGTTCGAGAAAATTTCGTTAGTTAACAATTATTTAACTTGTTGAAAAATTAACTTTAAGTAAAATTTCCAACGGGAATAAATTAATTATAGTGTTCAGAACACACCATAATTTTTTCAAATTTAAAAAAAATATTCAATACCTTAAATAAATTAATTAATGTGCCGTAGTCGCTTTTGACGCCACGCGCGAATCCTAAAAATGTCACGCACAGACCTATTTTCAGCGTTAAATTAAAGTTATAAATAATGGAGATAGAGTTCCGGGAGCTGAGAGTTTTTTATTGGAAATTTCCTCCTCTTTCAGAATCTTTATTTGAAATTTCTTAAATATTAATAGTTTATTAAATATTGGCAAAAAACTAAATTCCATTTTTTTTTCATCTTTTAATGGTCTATAACTTTTGCAATTTTTTATGTGCTAATACACGCTTTTAGCACATTTTTCTAGGCGTCATTCCGGTTCGAATGAGCTATCGCACATAATTTTAAGAGCAGTATCTCTATTTTGTTCCATTTTCAACTTGTCGACTAGACTACAGTCTCAGGAACAATACTAGCTTAAATTAAGAAAAAATACTTTTGTGCGTGAAAGTCTAGTTTCTGGTTATTATAAAATTACGCTACGGAGGAATTAACGCGGCGAACACTAATAAAGCTTAAATATTATAATATATTGTACGAAACGTAATGCTAGTGGGTTTTACAGATGAAATATTGTTTGATAGAATACATTATAAATGTCGGTAAATTACGACTACGAAAGTATATCAATCGAATAGCTAGTAGGATTTTGAGACAAAAAAATTTTGAGCGTCTCGGGACGCCCGACAGAAGTGGTGACTTAAACTAATCTTAGTTGAAGTATTTAATGTTCCGAGGATTATCTGCTTCATTCATCATATTTTTTATAATCACTTTCAAAAACAGTGATAGTTTAAGGTTATATGCTCACTGTCAACAGTAACGCACACTAAACACTGAGTAGAAAAAGCAGAAAGTGTATGTTCGAAATACGTCTAGCGCTGCGGGTTAGAGTGAGAGCGGAGGAACCTGCTTGCCGCTGCCGTATGCGTGAGAGAAAGACAAGCTAGACAGACTGGCGCCGTAACGCGTTACGTAACGAAGCGATTTTCCCTCCCGTAAGAAGTTATTACTTTAAAAATATTTATTTGTCATTTTATTGTTTTTCGGCACATGCAAATGGTGCAATTAATAAAGCATTTTCACACAAAAGGTTAGTTTGAATGAGACTGTATATGCAATTTAATTTAAATAAAAATAGGTAAGGTAAAGTACCTTTTGACTAACAAAAAGTTTATGCGAAAAATGGCTTAACGAAATTGTTCCAAGTACTAAATTTATGACACAAAATGGTTCTACAAGTTCCCAATTATGTATTTCTTTTTATTTTATTTTAGCGCAGCGTTTAAATTTAATATACAGGCAAAACAATTATGAAACTGAATTCTGATCCCCAGATTCATTGAAAAACACGAATATAAACACAACCCCTTTATTCGACTAAGATTATTACGACCGGTATCTAAATCATTAACAAACATAAGAACAAATCACTTTATCACCGAAGTGCATTGTTCTACTTACAAAGAAATAGTTTACTTCGGTTTTTGACGGCGACAAAGAAACAAGTGAACAATGAAAATACTAGAGAAATGTCGGCTTAAAGAAATCGTCAATAAGATTGTCGCAAATTGTAATTTAAAACTGTTAACTTATGAAGATCAAGAAAATACAAAACAGATCGAAAATTACTTTGGAGTCTTGACCCCGTTAAAAATTGTTGGACTCGAAAATTCTGGTAAAGAAAAAGAAGTTAACGTTATGCTCAAATTGAAACCTAATCAAATTGACGATCGAATGAAAGCAGTATTAGAGTATTTATTTGAAACGGAACACTATCTGTATAGCAGATTGATACCGATGTTCAGACAATATAATGTTAATATAGATGAAATCATTCCAAACTGCTATTACGCTGACCTAGAACCGGGAAACGAAGTGATTGTCCTACAGGACATGACATATAAAGGCTATCGACGCTATTCTGGTGACGGGTTCTTTGATTACGACCACGTCCTTGTGTCCTTGAAAACCCTCGCTAAATTTCATTCCCTTTCCTATATTTTATTGAAAAATGGTAAGAAACCAGACGACGATGATATTTTAAAACCGTACACAAATACCCACCCCGCAGAACTGAATTTGGCTTTAAAACTATCTTTGGATAACCATATAAAGTATTTTAATGGAAATAAATATGAATTTATAAAATCATTGAGGGAAAGGTACGACTTTATAAGAGGGGGTGTTGTAAAAGGAACGAAATGTTTTGTCTATGCCCATGGAGATTTTTGGAAAGAAAATATTCTATTGAAATACGAGGTTAGTGTTTTTATATAATTTAAGTTCTTTCACCATTTCTTTTACACTTAACTGTGTATTTTATTTCAAAATGTTATATATTTACATATTGTATTGAAGTATATTAGTTTTTAATTATATTTAAACTTTTTGAAGAAGAACGTATATTTACCAGTTTTTAGGCGACAAATGCATTAAAGTACCAAACTTTTTATGAGTCTTTGGTATTTAATGTCTCTAGAAACATAATTTAGTACTCACAACCCTTATAATTATTTATTTTAATTTATCGTACATCAGACTATTTTACAGTATTAAAAATAAAGTATTAGAGAGAGTAGTATCTGTATAAAACATCCTTAAAAGTAGTATCTGTATAAATAATTTGCAAATAAACGTTAATTTAATAAAAAGCCGTAGGTAATTAAAATTAAATATATTATACGTCAGTGTCGTGACACAAATCAGATTCGTTAAATCGATGATAACGTCGAATCCTAATACAGTTTAATCTCGTCCGGGGACTGTTTTTGATCTAATTATATTACATATATGCGTATTTGGTACGTCAAAGGGTGGGACGCCATCTTGCCTAGAGTAGCGTTTTGGCGGGTTCTTAAAACTTATGAATTATTTATTTGAATTTTAAAGCCAACACAAAACAGAATTAACAATAAAATATTTGAATAAATTCTAGTCACTAATCTGAACTGGTTTTTTAAATCTTTCCATAAAAATATAGTTCTATTTCGCCCGTTTTCGTAGTTGTGTATTTCCATGTTTAATCTAAGCTAAACCTATTGCTTATCCCTTTAATGTTCCGACAAATTAATACTTTACAAGGCACTACTATTTCAGGCAGGCAAACCCATACAGGCATGTATAGTTGACTTCCAGACAGTACAATATATGAGTGCATCTCAGGACTTTCTCAACTTTCTTATATCCTGCACTGACTCTGAAACCAGAAAGGAATATTTCGAGGAATTCCTAACGATTTATCTCGCAACTGTTATCACAACATTACGACAAAATGATGTGGAGATACCATCATTGAAGGAAGATTTCAAGCATGATTTGAGACTAGTAGCTGAACACTGTATTATTCGATCGTTTATGGCCTTTGCGCTATGGTGTGGTTTGGAAGAAGGGGGTGAAACCTTGTTGACGAGTATAAATACGATAAACAAAAGCCAAGCTATTTTACGTTTTACAAAAATAATTGGTGATGTTCTTGATGATCTTAATCAGGTGGGCTTGATAACATTGTAGGCAAGATAATAGTATTTGTGTATCCAATGCATTACTTTATATAACGAACAGTTATAGTCCCGTTACCAACTTGCCGTTTTAAGCGCTATCCACACGTTTCCGGGAACTCGTCCCGGCCGTGTTCCGTCAGGGACGGGTCACCACGGGTGACACCGCCGCCTGACACGGAGCTGTGTGAACAAGTTCATACAATTTGTACGTAACCGATTTTTTCCCCGTCCCTGACGGAACACGGCCGGGCCGAGTTTCCGGAAATGTGTGGATAGCGCTTTAGGCGTAAGTTTAAGTTATTAATTGTACACTTTAGCAGATAGATTTACGCAGCCGGATAAACGTTAATCATAAGCTTGCTTCGCCATGTAGTTTTTGACTGACTACCACTAACGTTCGACGAATAAACGGAACATTTTATAACACCACTTCGAGTTTCATCTCGCGAGTTCGACCGTGGTTCAGATCGAGCCATCGTACGTATAAGTAATGTATATCAAATAAAAATAATAAGAAAACTTAACAAACTGATCTGTTTCATATCTTGGTACAAACTATGCTCGAAATAATATACTTACACGTATTTAAATCTATATTATAAGGAGTACGCGAGCCTCGACCCATTCCACGTTATCTCCAAGCCCATCTTTTCGAAAGAGATATGCAAATCAAATGGGCTTTTAAGATCACATTAAAACGCACACTTACAAACCCTCTCAAACTACATATTCCCACACACACCTTAACTAATAAATTATTAGTAAATTGTCTTGGTTAGTATAATATCTTCGTATGTCCGTTTTGGCTAATTTTTTAATTTAAAAATTGTAAAAATTGAATAATATTAAAAAAAAAAGCTTTGGATTATCAATAAACTGTTAAAATAAAATAATATTTGTTGAACATGTAAGGCTTGTAAACGGGTTTTACAGTCGTAATATTTTGTTTAAAGTTTGTCTTATGACTTGATAAAATACTAGGAATAAGCAAAATTCGGTAAATTGAATAAACAAAAATAACTGTACAAATAAAGATTGTAAACATTATTTTGTAAGCAAATAAAAACATTATTAACTGGCACCCTGCAATTAACGTGCACTATAAAATGTTAAAGAAATGTCTACAATTAATCGTGTCATAGATGAAACCTCGAACTACGAGTAAATTAATGTGTATTGAATGAAAGAAACATGTCACGTAGGCGAGAAAGACGCCTGAAGGTCACCAAAGATCAATGGTAGATCTTGGTCTGAATATTAACTAAACCACCCTTTTCATATCAAACTCTACTCTAGGTTACACTATATGATATAATTTTCTGTAGAGCCACATATATATTTATTTAAGAAATTCGATAATTTAGGTCCATATTCTAATTCGTATCTCAACTCAGGTCAAGTCTTGAGCGCTGTCAATTATGTCAAAATATAGAAAAATTATTTGACAGCTGTTGAAACTAGAGTTAATTTTTATTGGCGTACTAGGAAACGGGCCTAAATGTTCATTTGGAGGTTGTTAGGGCGAGATTTAGAAAGAGACATTAGCGTTAACTCTGATGTACGTGAAATGTACTGAATTTTGACATATTATGGGAGTCATAAACGCGCTAAGTCCTATTTTTGAATATCGCTCTAACAATATGCTATGTCAATATTGTGGCTTGGCGTGAAGTTGATTCAATCAAGCCTAATAAAATGCAATATACTTAAAAAATCCCGTGAATAAGACTCTTACTACTCAGAGTCGTTCGTGATGAGTTAGCGGTTATATCCAGTTGGTAAAAATCACCAAATCACTGGATCAATCTGAAGCTAAAAAGGTTTTTCAATGCTTTTTAGCCATACTTCCTTAAATCGATATTTAACTAATCGAGCAACTATATTCGTAGCTAAGTTATAGATATGCTAGAATATAATCAAACATAATTTAATTATTTAGGTCTAATTTATATTTTTTATCGGTTTATACCTTTGGCTAATATAATTGTAAGTATGTATTTATAATGTTATATGTTTTCGTATTTTTGAACCTGCATATTATTTAAGATATATCAATAGAATAAGAATAATGTATGCGTACTAAACAGTCGCCAATATACGATTGAAAATTAGTAAAAGACTGTATTCATTACTTAACGAATAAAATTAAGAGGCGCCAACTGGACTTTGGACAGTGCGTTCAGAACGTACCCTACGTTGATGCTTAAATTATTTGAAACGTTAAAAGGAATCAAACTAAATTAAATACTGTACGATATAATTATCGCATAGTATTTAATTCGGTTTTTTTTACTCGCACTTTGCCCACATAACGCCCACTAAGGTCGCTTATGACGTTGTCCACATCGATTGACATTTCTCCGAAATATATAACTAATTGTACTATTTATTATTGAACTCATTTAAAGTTGTCCCAAGGATATTACGATATATCTTACAAAATCAACACGTTATCTTATCTAACTAAAAACAGCGCTAAGGTAAAATTACGTAAACAACTTGACAAAACTAGAAAGATAAATGTGTAGTGAATTTCGTGAATTTGGATATTCTAGAGTTTGGTGGATAATAGGAAGTGCATAACCGGCGCAACGAATTGATGAATATTCATAAAGCAGTCTGCTGTCTACTTTAATTAAATTTGTACTAACTTTTCAAACCAATACAAAGCACCAAACATTAACAAGACAGTTCGAATTTTAATAAACGGAAACGGAAGCGAATTTCTTGTTACAAAACGATGTTTGTTTTTGATGTGTCAAAAATGTCAAACTGTTTTGATAATTAAGTTAATTGAAATTATTAAAAAAATGGCTTTTACTATTATTATTGGATCAAAAATGATTTACATTGCCTCCTGCTTAGAAGATAATTCGTCGTACGAGTAGGTTTAACTCAAAAGTGTTGGTTTTTTGGCGTAAATATAACTAATACACACAAGGCCCCCTTGCGTTAAAAACTTTAACAAAACGCTGAAATATGTAACATTACAAACGATGATGGGACATTATCTTTCCATAAAAACTACGGGAAAATCAACACTTTCGCGTATCAAATTAAAAACTAACATAATGAATCCTGTTTTTTATTAATTTTACGTCATTTTTATTTCGCTATTTGTTGTAATCGATTACAGAAAAATACATATTATTTATTTCAATTCTACTCTTATTAGAGGCGATTAGTCAAGATTAATAAATTGTAACTATCTAACTTAGTATCTACCATGAATATGACGCTGACATCAAACGGCGCTTTATTAATCAGTTTAGGAACCGCCCGGATATTGAAACATGACAACTGACAGATATTGATTATCAAAATCATGAACTATGTTAAAATTTACTTCATTTACAACCTGATAATCTAATAGTTAATAGTTAATAGTAATCGAAGAGTTGTGTAAAATGAAGTATTTAATATGGGCTTCCAAGAAAAAGCATTACATTTTCCGTAAAAGATTTGTGAATTGACTGAAGTCTTTTTACGTTAATTTGACATGTGCTGCTTGTTTGTATCTATATTTTTGGTATAACCTCCAACTGATATTAGACCCGCCTAAATTATCTATATCAACCGATTTAAATTTAGAATAAATTTTCTTAAACAATGATAGTACAAAGGCAGTAGTAGCACAACGCCTTATTTAACACAATAAACGCGTTTATAGCTACGAAAATATTACATGACATTAAGTATTGAATATGTGATTTCGAACAGTAAATACCTACCCCAAAAAAAACATTATTTTCACGCATTTAATCAGATTTATATTAGAATAGCGAGTAATTGTATGACTTTAAGCTGGTCAATATGACACGTATATTTAAAACATAATTTTTTCGTGGGCTCAATTTCAATTATAATAGAGCACAATTATATATGTGCTAAATGAACTTCACTAATTATAGTGTTCTCGAGATTCTAGTCTAGAACTAACAAGTTAACTGCTAGTAGTTACGTTTAGTTTGCTGCTTTTGGACAACGTTCGGATTCACTTAAATGCCAACCAGTATTTAAACACCTATTTCAATTCTCCTATCGCATGTTCTATTTTAGTACTTAGTCAATACTTGCCAGAGAGTCCGTTTATTGATTGCTATTACATAACGTTTTACGTAGGATATCTTCAAATATTTTTAGTGATAACTGATGTCATAACGAAACATCAAGGAAAATAAATGTAGTTTATAAACACCCGTTGAAAAAGAACAAAGGTATATTAAATATTAATTTATATTTATGAATGTGAATTTCTAGGAAATAACTAACAAGATTATGTCAGGTGAATAAAACATTCAAACATATGTGTCTAGATTATTAATTAATATAAGTACTCTTCTTTAAGAATAGTGCAGTGTGCTACACTCTCGTGTACCAATGGACTTTCTTTCTATTTTATATTTGCTCGAACGGTGAAGGAAAACATGGTGAGGAAACCAGCTTGCCTTAGACCCAAAACGTCGACGGCGTGTCAGGCACAGGAGGCTGATGACCTACTTATCTTGTTCTTTAAAATAAAAAAAAATTGTTATCTTTCATTATTTTTTATATTTTTTTATTATTGTTATTTTGTGACTCTGTATGTGTGTTTTGTTAGTAACAAATGTCATGTCTATTTCTACTTGCTATTAGATTTTAGAGATCATGAAACAGATACAGAAATCTGAGGCCCAGATCTAAAAAGGTTGTAGCGCCGATGATTTCTTTTTATTTTATTATTTGAGGTTATTTACGTGCAGAATATATCGCGTGATGTCATTTTGACGGGATATTGCGTGCTGTCAACCTCATCTGCTTTCTTAATTCTTAATCATGTGGGTGCTTGGACGCGACGGATGAGTGATAGATAATCTTCGATAGATTTGTTTTTTTAAATTAAATATCCTTCTACGAGTAGGTAGTCTAGACTATTTTTAGTCGATTTTTTTAAAAATTAGATAATAATCTATAAGAAGGTTCTACTCCAGAGTAGGTAGCAAAAAAAATCTGTCTTTATATAACAAAAAG